CAAAAATGATTAAACCCATAGAATCCCCACACTGGTATAGTTAGTTTTTTTTTTTTAAATGCCTTTTCCAAGATCTGAAAAGATTTCAGTACTATTCTGAAAGGCAAGCTACAACCACAGCCTGCTCAGATCAGAAATATCAAACTGAAGGAATGATATTCTTTGTCGATTTCTTTTGTCACTGAAAGACTCAAGAACTCTTCATCAGAAAGAAGGCAAAAGTAGCTCAACTATCCCGACAGTACAAATGTTTACACAGGGAAATTTTTCACAGTGATGTACTAGCTCATTTCAGACTTTGCGGGCAAGTTCAGTGCATTTGCTGAACATGCACAGAGCACCTAGAAGACTGCAGCAGGAAAGGTTTCTCCATGCTCCATCTCTCCCCACTAGTGCACATGTATAGGCATTCCAGTGGAACATGGAGCCTGCCATCTCTCTAGCAACTTCAGATGCTAAAGCATTACAGCAAAGCTGTAAACTTCTGCAGGTCAAAACTCTCTGAGTCAAAAGGAGTACTTTAGGCGGATGGAAGCCCTTGGGCCCATCTATCTACATGTATAATGTAAAAGAGATATATAATTTCTGCTGTTCAAAGTGCATTTGCAAGTCCATTTCAGAATTTATTTGCTACCTGGCGGGGAGAAGGAATGGACTATTGCTGGAAAATATCCAAGTCAAAAGACATGCTGGCTGTATTGAATTCTTTGTCTCCTTTTTTGGCTCCCCAGCCCTTCTCATTAAAGCATAAACAGCCCACAATAATCCATAGAGACCATTTTCCACTGTTGTTTCAAGGGTTAATTGCTTAATTTGACTACAGACACTACCAAAATGTAGCACTGCAGTGGCAGGGTGGCAGCAGCAGAGGAAGGCCTCCCGGGGATTGAAACAGGAAAATACAACTGCCACACACAGGAGTTGCTCACCCCTCATTGAAAATGTTGACAAATTAAGAAACATCAGTTTACAGTTTGTGGATATGCCAACACCTCTTGCCCCCCCCCCAAAGCCACTCATTAGTCATGAACAGAGTTCATCTTCTCTTCCAAGACAAGACCAACTACCTTAATTAGCTTTCCTTCACTCCATCATCCCTAAGACAAGCGTATAACACATGGAAAGGCAGCCAATTCATTTATGTTTCTCAGCATTACGAAAAGGCAGGAGGTGCTGCCAGGTGCACCCTCATATTTTATGAGGTAAGCAAATGGAGTTAGCAATGTCTACTTCATTAATTAAGGTTCATCTGGAATATTTGCACACCTTTCTTGCTGGAAAAAAATTGGCACTTTTTATAGAAAATCTGGCTACAGAGGAAGAAATAAAAGTATTTGTAGCAGGCATATTTTGAGAGTTTATTCTCTCACGTTGTGGCAAGGCCTATAACACATCCTAGTAAGAAAACCACGGAGGGCAGTAAACAGCTGAAACAAATTGGCCATTGTAGATTTACAAACTGAAGTCAGGTATTAACACACTTGAACAAATATATGAATTCATATTCGTAGAATTCATATAATGAGAAAGAAGTGTAGACGTTAGAAAGCACATATAAGCAGTGCAGGGTTATTAACATTATATCCTCGCCATCCATCCTTAAGGGCAGCTGCCTTTTCAAAAGATCACTTCAGTTGCTGTGGTTAAGTCATGGCCTGTGCCGTCACAATTGGGTCTCACTTCTAAGAAGACCAGGGTGACCTTGTTTGCCAAATGTATTTTTTTTTTACACGGTTCTTCTGCTGGTAAATGCATCCCCATTTGCTAAGAGTGTCATCTTCGTGATTTAGTTTGAAATTACCCCTCTAGTTCCATGGACCCTATTTGATGGTAGGGTTTTTTTCCCCCCTCTCCCACAGGTGATATCATGATTACTCCCTTGTACGTCCACCTTCATGTGAGATGAAGGCATTTACACATACAGGACTGAACAATTGTGAGGCAACAGGTATGTGAAAATCCTCTACAAACCAAATCTTCAGCTCTTGAGATGCCCCTTTGGATATGTTTCTGTTCAAGCAAACACAAGTGAAACTTTTCTTCAGTTAGAACCAAGGAGGTGGAGCTAGCACTTAGTGCCCAGAACCTAATTAGTGACCATGCAAGATTTGCATTGTGGGAATTTGTACAACCTCACATGCTGCCTTTAGTAAGTTTGGCTGGGAGGGATCTTTCTAGGCTGGGATGATTTTCAGTCTATCCAGCACTAACCAATTTTTCTCCCCTGCCTCTGAATTCAAAGATAGCCCTGCCTCTCTGCTCTGTGTCTTTTTCCCTCTCTGGAGTCTGCTGAAGTGTGTTGCTGAAAGCAGTCATGTTTGTCAGTTTGCTGTTGATTTGTAAGTGATTAAACATTTTTATTCTTTCTCTTAGAAATGTCTCTGAGTGCGTTATTGAGTCTGTATGTGCCAATTAATGAGAAAAAAGGTGAACTACTCTGGGGAACTTGAAATTATTCTGCTCTGTGAATTCCTGCACTTCTGTTGCACAGCTAGAGGAATTTAACCAAAAATTCAAAATGCTGCAACATGTATAAGTTGTGCAGCTAATTGCAGCTAACTGAGAAGGTGCTGAGATGCATCTTGGTTGCATGTATGGTGGTCATGTGGCTGATTGCACAACTGGGATGGACCCTGGTACCCTATCAAATAACATGGAAAGTTAAACAAATCTTACACAAACAACAATAGAACTCCTGCCACCACAGTGTAGTGGGCAGGGCAGTACACATAGCTCCATATCTCTGTCCATGCCTTAGCGTACCCTGTTCAGCCTTAACATATGACAACAGCTAAAACAATCAAAGAAGGGGAATACTAGAAGGGAAGTGTGGTCTGGGACCCAGTCAGCAGATATGAAACAGTAAATCCCTAATGAGAGGTTGGAAGAACAGAGAGAAAGGCAATGACACTAGACTGGCCATTGGAAAGAAAACAAAAATCAGTAATGGAACAACACAGCTAGAGCATTCAGTAAGACGTGCAACCAAAACAACAGCCTCAGAACAGAAAGCTGATACTTCTGTCTTGGGAAGCAAAGGTAAAGTTGATGTTGGACAGCAACTGACAAAAAACGAGAAAGTGAAAAGCAAACCAATAAAACTGATAAAATATTGTGCTTGTTTGAAGAAATTCAAATGGACAGGATAGGCCTCAACAAAAGCCATGCACTAGTTTGGGGTTGCTGACTGCTTGCAAAACAGAAATGCCATGAAGAATTCACCAGCTAGTCTCATACTGCCTTATGTCATCACAGAAAGGCGGTCGCACGTGTTGCCCCCAGTCCTGCCAGGCTCCCTTTGGGTGCCCAGTGGTTGTGAGATTGGTCATGCAACCAGCTAAATGGTTGTTTGTGCAATGTGGGAGGAGGCCTGCCACAGCAGAGGAACCCATACACCATTTTCCTTGCACTCTGAATAAGATATTGTCTATCCTCTGCATCCCCTTCCTAATATGTGGCAGCTTCCTACTTTCTCCACACTGGAAATGTTAACATGCTTGCCACATTATTCCACATAACTACCAGTGTGAGGAAGAGTCCAACTGGAAAAGACCCACAATTCTATACATCTTTTATTCTCAGAAAAGACTTATTCGGACCAATTTTCATTTTCTTGTGTCAGGGGAGTTTTATTTTGGCTTTTTATTAAACGATCTTGTGTGTTTTTCTGCCCATTTCTTAGCAACAATATCAGAAGAAAAAGAAAAATATCAAATCTTGTCCCCTTCCCTTCCCCAGCTGACCCCAGTAGATGGCCTAAATGTTGAACATTAACTTTATTTTGGCATTCTCGCTAACCTCTCTCGATGTCCTTTCTAATCAGTCACAATTTAAACAGAAACCATGAATCTGATGCTACTTGAAATGGAAGAAAACTGGTTTTAGTCATTGGAGTTGCATGTCCACAAAACATTTGCTTCCCTCGTCTATTTCACAGACCATAAAATCCATTAAAATACTCTTCCTGCTCTGTTATTAAGTGTGCTGCAATCACTAAGCCATACTGTTTTGCTTTGCTTTTTTCTACTATTTTTCTGCAAACTGAAAGATCCCAGGCTAGCACAGCTCAAAAGCACAGACTGTAAAGAACACATCTATGAAGGATGTTATTGTAAAGTGGTGTTTTTCCTTGTTGTTTTACATTAACCCCTTAAATTCAGTTTTTTAAAAATCTGAATCTGACCTTTCAAATAAAGTGACTTTACTAAGTCAGTAAACAGAGTAAAATGATCCAGAGAGAAACAACAAAAGCTTTTTAGGGGATTGTAAGTATTTATGTGACTTAATCACAGTTCCAGACAAGTTAACTAGGTTAAGGGCCAATTTTGGCTCATGAGAGAGGGAAAGCTAGTCTTCAGACATGGCAGGTAGGTACATAGGAAGAAGCCATTTATACCGTTGTTCCATCTTAGTTTGTCTATAGTGGCTGAAATTCTGTTGTTCAGCGTAGTAAGTTGCAAAATAGCCAGTTGCTGTAAATAAGCTTATTGACCAAATGAGAATTTAATGAGTTAGTTCCTCCATAAGTTTTATTGATTCAAATAGGCCAACTCCAGTTGCAACTTACTATAGTGGTCTAGATGTAAGTTGCTACACTATGAGGTAAACAGGGAGGATCCTTACCAGGAAGGGATGCTGTTAAAAAGGATCCAATGATGTATGTTGTTCTCTGATGGGACATGGAACCACATGCTTTCCATCTAGCAACAGTACTCTATGGCAGTGGTTCTTAACCTTGGGTTACTCAGGTGTTTAACTGTAGCTCCCAGAAATCCCAGCCAGCATAGCTGGTAGTGAAGGCTCCTGGGAGTTGCAGTCCAAAAACACCTGAGTAATCCAGGTGCTCTATGGCACTTTCATAATTTGTTTTAAAACTATTGTGAGGGTGAAAACATTAGAACTCTAAAGCATCCCAAATCTCTTTGTTTCTACACACAAGCATACCCACAATCCCCCCCAAAAATCACACCTGATATCCAATAAGTCACAATAGCTCTTACCTTGTATCCACCAATCCGATGTTCTTGCTTAAATTCCTTCCCATTTTTTAACCACCTCATGGTTGGTATAGGGTTTCCTGTAGCTGGACAACGGAACTTTACAGTGTTAGCTGCTGGAACGGCATGTAACCTCTTCTCCATTTTTTCAGTTTGAGTCCATTTAGGTGCTTCTGTTACCAAAAATGAACACAGAAAGGGAGGATCAATAACTCACAATTAACTCAGATGCCAGCAACACCATATCATGCATTTGTTATCTGCATGCATTTCTAGTGAGACACAATATACTTTAGAAGGGCCATTGATGTTCTACACTGTTGATTTATGTTGCCTTTGGCAAATTATACATGATGCTTGAGTCCCTTAAAATTTCATTGTGTACCTAAAGACAAATATCTGGCCTGCTTCAACTGGAATTACTTCTTATGATTCATGCCTTAAGGGGATGAAGGAAAAGATGATTCAAGAATGAGGCTAGTTCTCATTTTTCAAACTGTCATCTTACCCCAGCCTTTACGCCCAAGGCGAATAACTTTAAAACAGAAAATAAAATATAGTTTGAAATACATATAGTATGAGATTTCTAAAACTTTGTGTGCAGACAGTGAAAATCAGAGGTTTCAATGGAAGCATTGGCTTTATTTTTCTTTTGTTCAGTTATGGCCTGTTAGTATGTTCTTCCAAATAACTAACAAATACAACTATTTTATCTCTGGGTCTATTTTTTTTAAAGGAAGGAGCAACCATATTTCTATTGAGCAAGTGTGTTTAAAAGATATTTCAGAACATGTCTCCCACTAGGTGGACTGAAATCATTTGAAGTCTTTCATACAAGGAGATGCAGTCATCTCATTCCAGCCCAACTGAGTGTTTAAGCTGTGGCAGCTAAGCACCCTGTTCTCCCCACTGCTGACCACCTTCATTACTGAGTGGCCAGAACAAGTTCTTTGTCAGGATTTATCATCATCATAATGATTTATGGTTTGGATGGGAATTAAGAAGTACGTTCCCTTTAATTGCATTTACTAACCTGACATAAGCCTTTATCAGGAACATTCTTGTATTGTGTGCAGAAGACAGATTATTTAAGGAGTATAAAACTGAGAAGACTACCTAAAGTTCGGGAGGATTTGATTTTCATTTTGAAATCTGGGCTATCAAAGTAAGGATTATTTGAAAACAATACAGAAATCCAGGAAACTCAAAGATCACTTCATTCTATACCCAATCATCTGCTCCCCAAGATAAGGAGACATGCTTCCTTCTTTCCTAGCTACAGTGAATGTGAAGTTAATGGTGCCAAAGAGACAGAGCCTCTTGCCACCCATTAATGAGTGAATAATGTCTCTTAAAAGCCTGATTCATGCCACATGGAAAGTGAAGAATCCACTAGAAACTAGGGAAAAACAAACCCCAGGTTCCATCTCACAGGGAAGGGAAGTTTCCAGATGAATGAATGAATGAATGAATGAATGAATGAATGAATGAATGAATGAATGAATGAATGAATGAATGAATGAATGAATGAATGAATGAATGAACGAACGAACGAACGAACGAATGAACGAACGAACGAATAAGCAAGCAAGCAAACAAACAAACAAACATATTGGCTGCTGCTTCTCAACAAACCAAGCTTAACTAATTTCAGGTGTCACTCTACTGAAAATTTCTTAGTCAGTTATCTGTAAGCAAATTGTGGGACAGTGTAGAGAACTGCTTCACCTGAAAGGTTACTGCAGGATATGAGAATGGGATGCAGTATAGAGAAATGAAAGAAAGAAAAAACGCTAGCTTTTGATGTGACTATTTTGCATTTGTGAATAATGACTCTTCCTACATGGCTTCCTGCAGAACTACTAGACTTTAGAAAATGCTCTCTGGTATGCCATTTGCATGGCCAGCAAATGTATGAGTTGGAGAACATTGACTTTGCTCTGTTAGTTGGTTATAGTTGGCTGCAACTTTAAGGATAAGCAAAAGAAGGGGACATCCAGGATGCCTGGATTTCTGTGTTGTGTGACTTTGCCTAGTGTCTAAGCATCTGAAATTATAAGCTCTAGCATGGAACCAAGTATTCCAAAAAGAATAGCATATTTAGGGGAAAGAAAGGTTCTTATTAAAACATGGATCATAAACTTGAACATTCCAGAGCCATTTTGGCTTAGCTCTAATTACTACTAGGAGCAATGAAGAAATTTTCAATATCTATCCAGGATTGCTGCTGCTATAACAATCTGAAGCTAATGGAAATCTGATTAACTGCACAAGAATATCATGACCACACTTAATTCAGTTCACTCACATATCCGTTCAAAAAGTAAAGTCTGATCTGTTAAACAGTAGGGATACTTAATTATTTCAAAATAGAACCTTCCTGAAATAAATCAATTTACTATGGAAATTTTTAAGACCAAAGGGGTCAAGAAACACAACCATTCCTCTCTTAGCCCTGCTTCATTTCCTTTATTAAGCAGCCTCCTGCTCCATAACAAATAAACCTTTCCGCTCATCACACATTTATTGTTGTTCTTGAAATCTGCACACACTCCAAATTCCTGCACCCCACTTCCCCACACACAGCAAAATAAAAATACAGCTGGAGAAGAGCAGAGCAACAGACTCCTTTAACAGGCCTCCCTGCCCAAAGAAAACATCCCAAATTTCAGCATTAATTTAAAAAAGAAAAAAAAAGATGCCTGACTATTTTTGTTTCAGCATGACGGCTTTCAAACTAATTAACCAGAAAAATCAATGGCCATTTGAACATGCTGCCACAAGCACAACATCAGGCAAGATATAACTACTTAAAATTAAATCGTCCTTCCGTAAAATGTTTCATTATCCCACATTATCATGTTTTCTTGGGAATAAAATTGGAAGAAAGTTACAGACAAATTTAAAAGACCAAAACAAAGCAGTTAAGTCAGCAATGAAAATTTAAAAGGCTCATTGCTCAAGAATGGTATTAAGTACTACTAATATATGATGAGTAACTTTTTGCTCTAGCACTAGCTTGTTCCAAAAAGAAAAAAGAAACCTGCTGGAACAAATCCCAGATTCCTGATAAAGTTAATCCAAGTTGTACGTGAACAGGATTGGTGTATAAGGACAGGAATCTGTGCAGGCTGCTAAAACCACAAAAGGTCAGCAATCATGAAGTCTCTTTCTGTGTTGTTCTCCAATAGCAGTGTTATGTTTCTAGTTATGTGGCTGTACCAACCTACAGATTAGAACTTTACTAGCCAGTGGACAACCTGCCAGTGAATTTGAGATACAATTTGGGCAGTTTTGGACAAACTGTGGCTCCTAAAGCCAAGAAAGGATGGTTGCTATACAGCACAGTTATTTTAATGTGAGGGATTTGAGCTTAAACGAATCTAAATGCAGTATACTAGAGCTTCCTAGCTCTCTAGAACAGATGTCTGAGGGGTTGGGAGTGGGGCTGTAGTTTTGTCAGTGCATGTTAGCCTCTGCTAACATTTATTATTGTTGGTTGATGTTATTATTCAGTCACATATTATTATCCTCTACAGTCTGTCACAGGGATGCAGACTCTAGAGGATGATGGAAACACCCATGGCTTTCCAGATGTTGAATTACAGTTCTCTTCAGTCTTCAGCACTGTCTCTACAGACCAGGACAGATGGGACCTTAAGTTCAACAACATCTAGAAAAACACATGTCCTCATTCAGTTCTACCAGGAATGAAGGCCACAGTACAAGGCCCATGGGCCAAGACTTTGATAGATAATAGGTACATATTATGGAGTTTTGCACTTCTACATTTTCCAGACCTACGAAAAACCTTGCTCCTGGTGTTGTCACACACTGATGCTTCACTGACAACAACAAAAAACAAACAAACAAACAAACAAACAAACAAACAAACGGGTTCCTTCCAAAGCATTCTGAAGACCTGCTTCTTTCAAAAAAACAGTTCATAGGTCTAATGTGCACTGATTAAGTTCTCATTTATAGCATTTTACATTTTTATTTTGTTTTGCTTTCTTTATTTGGACTTATTTTGGGTTGGGGGGATTATTTATTTATTTATTTACTTATTTACTTATTTGCTTACACACACACACACATACGTACGTACGTACGTACGTACCATTTTTCACCCTATATAAAGGCCTGCAGATGGTTTAGCACAATGAAAATGGACATACAGTATATCACAGAAGTGAGTACACCCCCTCACATTTCATAAATATTTTAGTATATCTTTTCATGTGACAACACTGAAGAAATGACACTTGACTACAATGTAAAGCAGTGAGTATACAGTTTGTATAACGGTTTAAATGTGCTGTCCCCTCAAAATAACGCAACACACAGCCATTAATGTCTAAACTGCTGGCAACAAAAGTGAGTACACCCCTTAGTGACAATGTCCAAATTGGGCCCAAGTAGCCGTTTTCCCTCCCTGGTGTCATGAGACCCTTGTCACAAGTCTCAGGTGTGAGCAGGTCTTATCACTCTCACACTCTCAGAATGGTCACTGGAAGTTCCACATGGCACCTCGTGGTAATGAACTATCTGAGGATCTGAAAAAATGAATTGTTACTCTACATAAAGATGGCCTAGGCCAGTGATGGCGAACCTTTTTGGGCCCGAGCGCCCAAATTGGAAAAAGAAAAAACAGTGGGTAGTAGTGGCAGTGGAACCGTAATTGGCTGCAGAAGGGAGAATCCCAGGCACGGAGGTGCCTCAAGACCCCACTTCAGATCCGCCACCAGTGCCAGCTGCTTAGGGAGCCAGCACTGTGGCTGCAGCTGCCTCATCAGGTTTGGCTATGGTGGAGAGTAGTGATCTGGCAACTTATGGCTCACGTGCCCGCAGAGAGGTCTATGCATGCCAGGTGTGGCACATGTGCCATAGGTTCGCCATCGCTGGCCTAGGCTATAAGAAGAGTGTCAAAACCCTGAAACTAAGCTGCAACATGGTGGCCAAGACCATACAGCAGTTTAACAGGACAGGTTCCACTCAGAACAGGCCTCGCCATGGTCGACCAAAGAAGTTCATTTCTTGTGCTCAGCGTCATATCCAGAGGATGGCTTTGGGAAATAGACATATGTGCTCAAACCATACACGCACACTGCATCAAATTGGTCTCCAGGGCTGTCACCCCAGAAGGAAGCCTCTTCTAAAAATGATGCACAAG